GCCCTCGTCGCAGACCGCATCGTCCAGCAGGGCGTCGTCGTGACCATCGCCGCCGGGAACTCGGGTGACGTCGGCCCCTTCTTCGCCAGCAGCGGCGCCTCCGGCAAGGAGGTCCTCGCCATCGGCTCCGCCGACGCCTCCATCGTCTCCGCCCGCCAGTTCGCCGGCACCTTCAACCTGGACGGCCAGTCCAACCGCACCATCCTCGGCTACCGCCCCGCCGAGGACCTCTTCCCTGCGGACATCGTCGGCTGGCCCATCGTCCCCGTCACACTCAACATCAGCGTCGAGAACGACGCCTGCGAGCCCCTCGCGGAGGGCATCAACTTCAACAACACCATCCCCCTCGTCCGCTTCGACGAGGGCTGCGAGGACTGGGAGCGCCAGCGCTGGGTCCAGGAGCGCGGCGCAAAGTTCATGCTCTTCTACCTCACCGACCGCGCCGTCCTCGGCCACTCGGGCCGCGGCTGGGCGCAGAGCCGCTGGGGCCTGCTGTCCAAGGACGCCGGCGAGGCCATCGTCAAGACGTACATCGCCGGCGGCAACGTCACCGCCGACTTTTCCCTCGACCAGAACAGCAACTACGTCGCCATGTACAACGCCGGCGGCGGTAAGCCCTCCACCTTCACCTCCTGGGGTGGCACCTTCGACCTCGAGCTCAAGCCCGACGTCACCGCTCCGGGCGGCCGCATCTTCGCTCCCTTCGTCGGCGGCCGCTACAGGGATCTCTCTGGCACATCAATGGCATGCCCGTACGTCGCCGGCGTCGCGGCGTTATACATCTCCGCCCATGGCGGCCGCTCCGTGCACGGCGCCGGCTTCGCCAAGACGCTGGCCAACCGCATCATCGCGTCCGGCCGCGCGGTCCCCTGGTCCGTTGGCACCACGCGCGACTTTGGCTTCTGGGCGCCGCCGATCCAGGTCGGCAGCGGCCTGATCGACGCCGTCGCCGTCCTCAACGCGACTTCGCAGCTGTCCGGGGAGACCAAATTCGCCCTCAACGACACGAACCACTTCTCGCGGTACCACGAGGTCGACATCAGCAACACGGGCATCACGGAGCTGGAGTACCGGTTTCAGGTGCAGGCTGCGGGCGGGTTCGAGTCGTACTGGACCCCCGAGGCCGCTTCCAACCCCGAGCTTATCGGTGTGCCTCGCATCAAGGACTTTATCGAGATCGAGCCGTTCAAGATTGATGCTGTTGTCGGTCTGCCGTCTGGAACCTTCAAGGTTGGACCTGGAGAGACCAAGACTGCCAAGTAAGTCACCTGTCATTGTGACGGCATATTCCAGACGAGATCGGTGGAACTGACATTGCAACAAGGTTCTCTTTCGACATTCCCCAAGGCCTCAACTCCTCCAGACTTCCCATTTGGAGCGGAAAGGTCCTCATCAGTGCCAGCAACGGTGATGTTCTCTCCGTGCCCTACTACGGTATGTCTCTTGGTGTCTCAGTGTTCCGACTTTGCTGACCATCATACAGGCGTCGGTGGCAGCATCAAGCACGATATCGTAGACATGTTCTACACTTCCATGGGCTACCCCCGCATCGCTTCTGGCCTCAACAGGACTCTCATCTCCGAGAAGTCTAGGTGAGTCGTGACTTTGGCCAACTCGTGGTCGCATGGCCTAACACAAAGACAGCTTCACCTTTGACCTCTCCCTTGCCGCCCAGGACTTTGTCAGACTCCAAGTCGCCCTGACCTGGGGCACCCGCGAACTGCGCTGGGATGTAAGTTTCAACACCTTCCCCTCTCACCCTGAGATCCAGTGCCTAATCACCGTCCCAGATCTATGAGCCATCGTACCAAGAACGCGAATGGGCCTACCCTCCCGTCGTCGGCGAGAACAAGTACATCGGCTCCGTCGCCTCCTTCGACGTCTACAACACCGTCAATTACCCCAACTTCGACCCCGCCACCGACAGCGTGAACAACACCTTCTCCTACCCGCTGCAGTACCAGCCCCGCGACTCTCCGTACGAGTCCTGGTGGCTCGGTAAGCTCGCTGACGGCTCTCAAATCAAGCCCGGCAAGTACCAGTAAGTGTGCTCGGTTGCGAGAGTGTGTTTTGCCAATGTCTGACTTGAATTTCAGGATGCGCATCGCTGCCCTGGTCCCGTTCGGCAACCCCAAGGCGTCGGATAACTGGGAGATCTACGAGACCCCCGTGATTGAGGTTCTCCCCCTTCCTAGCAACTCTACTGCTGCACTTCGTCACAGGAGGATGTGAAGCATTTCAATGTAATCGAAGCCATGTTTCCGAGCTAAATCTGCCGGTTTGTGACCATTAGTATGCATAAGACGTTATACAAAGTCAACTTTCCTGATCACAACGTGACCATAAACTCTCCTGACGCACCCTCATGCGTGACATCCACTTGTGCGAAGCCTCGAAAGAGCCTACGCACACCCAGCACCCGCCAACGCAGCCGCCTTTTCGTTCTCCTCGCGCAGGACAAGCCAAAACTCAACAGCAACGCCGCAGTCGAACAATCCCGTCAACTTTGCCACCAAAACGTCCCACAAGTCCTTGTTCTTGACAGGCTGCTTCGACGCAGTCTTGAATCCGTTCTTCAGCCACTTGCGCATGTGCGGCTCCTCTCCGTTCTGTCCACCACCCACGGTCTCCACGAGGTACGCCGAGTCGCTCTTCAAGATGACATGCTTGACTATGCACGGCGGCTCGTCGGGGTGGCCAGAACAGTCCCACTGGCCACCACGCTCGCAAAAGGGCATCACGGCGTCGAGGGCCGCAATGGCTGCCCGGATAGCCTCACGCTGGGCGCTCGGCCTAACGCCGTCCTCCTCGTCGACGTGGCGTTGGATGTTGTGGGGGTTCTGGTGGCCAAAGTAGACGCCATGCCCGGACTCAGCGTTACCGGTGGCAGTGAGGCGGGCGGTGCCGGAGATGGCGACGATGAGAGAGTCGATGTGGCAGGCGTGGTAGCCGCAGGAGGCACAGCCATTGTTGTGGCCCGGGCAGCGGAGGTAGACGAAGGGTTTGGTGCCGCCATCCTCAGGGTCGAGAGTGTCAACTTCGAGGTGAGTGAGGTCGTCGAACTGGCTAGCCAGGGATTGTGGGAAGCGGCTGAAGATGGAGGTAAAGCCCGAGTCGAAAATGGGCTCGTAGCCGCGGTGGTATTTCTGGACGCTGGCGTGGACCTCGTCCGCGGTGGGAGCGTCGTCGGAGCAGTCACAGACTGACATTATGGGTGGTGGGCGGTGTTGTTTGACATTGTTTACTGCCAAGGATCGAGTATGATGAACTGTTAGAGATGTGAAATACGGACTGCTCTGTGAGACGGCAGATGGGCTTTATAGAATCTCGCCCACAAGCAAGGCAGATGGATGGTGGTCGAAGGAGTGAAGCGGAAGGGCCGAGACGAACCTACCTTCTGCCTTGCGAGGATGTTTTGTCATAAACGACCTGGGTGTTGGAACTCATTCTTTGAAAGCCGTCGTTGCCAAACCCGCAGGAAGTCTTAAACAGGGTCTTTGAGAAGGGCCTGGTGGTCGGTCACCTCTCGGGAGGCTGAAAGGCAACTGAAACGGATTCACAGGACCCAGCTAGGGTAGAGGCTAGGCAGAATCTGTAGAACTGTGCCGTTAACTATTTTCGTGGCGCCTGTCAACCATATTCTATTGAAGAGAACGATGGTCAGCAACGTCAACTTGGTAAGTGTGTGTGTGCTTCTGCTTGGTCGAGTTCTTGAACAACCTCCAATCTCTCTAAGAATTGAAGCAACGCTATCTCTTTTGAAAGAGCGCGGGCTTCATGCGACCCCCACCAATACTGTGACGCCGCAGAGATATTGCGATCCTTTCTCTTGACCAACTCTGGATCTAGCCAGCATTCCTCGCGCAACGCATCGTTTGCAAGCTTGTCCGCATCCCGGTTCATATGTCGAGGCACATGCCAAAACTGAACGGAGAATCCCATCTTGCGAAGGTAGATAAGTTCGTGGCCTAGCTCTGACCAAAGCATCAAGTTCTTCACTGGTTTGTTTTTGACCGACCGAAAGCCGTTCGAAATCCACTTCATGATGTGTGCCTCCTTTCCGTCCCTTCCTCCACCAACGGACTCAACGACATATGCAGAGTGCGATTTGACCACGATGGATTTGCATTCCGCCTCGATCACGTCACCACCGCACAGGTTTCGTGCAATCTTGAGTGCAGCGACGGCGGCATATATCTCAGCGCGGTTGTTGGGGTGTCCTGTTAAGTCGGCAAGCTCATCGGGAATCCTTGCACTCATGTTGTTTTTGTTTCCCGATCCGAAGTAAATCCCAATCGCTGACGCCTTTGCGCCATTGCCATTCCGCGGGCAAGCACCATCGACCGCGATGACGAGGTAGTCAGCATGTCCATGCAGATTCGAGGTCGCCCGGGTCATGGGACAGCGCACACGGACGAAGCCGGAGTCGGAATCTCTGAGCTCGAGGTCGGAGTAGATGGAGTTTGAATAAGGGCGAGGCTCGGGGTCGACGGGATATCGACTGAAAAGCGGTTGCTGGGATGGGCCACTGGTGGTTGTAGTTGAACAATCGTAATGAAATTCGGTGCCGTAGCGAATGATGCAGGGCATCGCTGCTGCTGGCTTCGATCGGGGCATCCATCTCCTCCTCGTGTTCATATTGCCTTGCGTGTGAGCGTTGAGCATGGTCTGTACTTAGAGTTGGAATGACTGATCAAATGGCCGAAAGAGGAGGAAAGAAGAGCAACAGCCACTTGAAAGCGTGCGCGAGGGTTGGCGGTTCAGCTTTAAAGACCAGGGCGACTTCCAAGACACCTCCCTCATTTCACCTCCCTCAAAACAAAGAAAGAAACGGCTTTGCGCAAAACACACGCTATCTATCCTCCTCTAAGACACGTTCCATCGCATGTAATTTTTCCACCGTACAGAGTAAGTCAAATTGCATTGCTCGCGTGCGCAGAAACAAAAATGAAATTAAAGGCGTCGTCGATATGTCGAAAATGCAAAAGAGTGCAAAAATGTTCCGAAACCGAGAATCGAACTCGGGGCTATGCCTAACCTCTCAAGTTCTTGAGAGGGCATCATGTTGGCCACTACACCATATCGGATTGGTTGATGGCGAAACTGGTGAATTCAGGCACTAAGATCCGGCGGGGCGCTGTGGCGATAGAGCCCACTGCGGCTTGGGGCGTCGACCCGTTTTCTGAGAGTTGGAAATGCAACTTTGTTCAGGAATTCTGAAGAAATCAGCCAAAATATCCGCGTATTCAAGATAGCTGCCTCGCACAAGCCCTCAAACGTTGCATCTTCCACGGGATGGAGGTATCGACGTTGCACAACTCCAACCTACTTCTGTCCAGCTGGAAAACGCCAAGCCTTCAGTTACGGCTTCAATTTTACGACGTTCGCTTTTACGGTCCGAGCGTCTGCCTTTCTTACGAAGGATGCAGCCCTACGGCGTCAAACTGCCCAGGGTGGCGCATCCCACCAGCACGGATTGGGCAAGTTTCACGGCGCCCTTGAACGGATTGGAATGCTAGACCGGAACTCAAACGATGGGTGATGGCTGCCGTGTCGCGCTACGAATCTTGGTGCTCCTCCCGTAAGGAGCTGAGCAGGGAAATGGGATGGAATGTGGGAAGGGATCTGTCGTGATCCTTCGGGGGGATCCTGCGGACGAGGAATGTGTATAAATTCAACGACATGTCTTGGACTCTCTCCGTTCAACCCTGTTCTGACTGCTCTTTCTTGTGTTCGTGGAAGTAGGAGGAAAGGCAGCCTGTCCGCATACCCTCCACAATATGAATACTCCGGCCCCGAAAACCGTCGGCATCATCGGCGCCGCCATCGCCGGTCCGACCCTCGCTCTCCACCTCCTTACACACCCCGTTCTCCGCACCCGCTTCCGTCCGATCCTCTTCGACCAATCTCCACCCCCAGCTCCGATCCCGACCGCATCCTTCAAGTCTAACGGCACGGGAACGGGACCAGGATCGGAATCCTCCTCTTCGACTTCATCCCATCACCAACGTGCCGGCGCCTCCGTCGGCCTCTTCCCTAATGGCTTGCATCCCCTGTTCTCCCTTGGTCTCGGTGACGCGCTCAAGAAACACGGCCATGAATGCGATGACTTGGCTCTCTGGTTCGGACAGATCACTGAGGGCTGCAAGTTGTCGCATCTCAAGACCGCGAGGAACGGGTTTTGGTCTCACGACTTCCAGCTGGGCGCGATGTACTTTGAGCGAGCTGGCCTGCAAGCTCTCCTGATTGACCGCGTGCTTCAGCTGGGTGGTGAGGTCAAGTGGTCAAAGAAGGCGGTTCAGTTTGAAGCTGCACCTTCGTCTGGTGGTAAGCAGACTCGTGTGGATTTCGCCGATGGTACACATATCGAGGTCGACCTCCTCGTCGGCGCGGATGGTGGCTACTCTCAGGTTCGTCGACACCTTCTCAACCTCAGAGATCCAAAGACGGCAGAAAACAGATGGCTTCCTGACTTCATGGGCACCACTGGCATCTACGGTATCTCTTCAGCTGATAAGATGCCGTCAACGCACACACCTGAGCGTCCCTTCACAGAGTCCCAGTGCATCTTCCTCAAGGAGGGGTTCCTGGCTACTGGTCCATGTCCGGGGAGGATGTTTCGGTGGGATCTCATCCTGCCCGAGTCGACACCACCAGACCCAAGCTCTGCATCTCTAGAGCCAGAGACCCCTGTGGCGTCAACGCCATCATCTCCGTCAGCCACGGAAGGAGAGCAGGAGCCGTGGCTGGCAGCCATAACGCCAGGCCAATATCCCACATCCACAACGGCCGAGATGCTCCGCCGCCACCTGCGCCTCAAACACCCCTTCACAGGAGACTTTGAGACGATGCTCAATAGCTCAGACCGTATAATTCACACGCCATTGAGACAGCGTGTGTGGAAGGAGGATGAGATCCAGTGGACTAGTGACAGCAACATCGTTCTCATTGGCGATGCTGCACGGTTGATGCTACCCACCAGCGGCCAGGGAACAGGGTTTGCCATTGAGGACGCAACTGTGCTTGCAAGCATGCTTCTCAAGCACTGTTCGACAACGGAAGCAGAGGCTGGAGCAGAACATGGGTTCTCCTCTGCGCTGGAAGAGTATGCTCGCCTCAGGAGACCAAGGTCTGAGAAGATGGCGACGATGGCATTTTGGATTGGAGTCGTAGGACTTGGTAGCACGTGGTATTACAAGCTCTTGCGGTATGGGAGTGCTAAGTTGACTCCTGGTATTGACTTGAAGTAAGTTGTCCCCGAAACAAATTGAGTTGAAATTGCTGACCGAGCTAGAACCAAGAAAAACCCAGACCCGTGGCCGATGGATGGGCGTTTCAACGTTGAAGAGAGCTCGAAGTAAACGAAAACTATTCCAAATGCTATTCCATATTATCAAAAGCGTTTTTCTGGGTTGGCTTAATCGAGATTTCTCCCGGCTCTTGTTATTGAAGAAGCAACTGAATTTCTGGACATACTTGCGTGATAGCTTTATTCACACAGGACGATATTTTGACAGGATCTGATGAGCTTCGAATAAACTCCTCTCTTTCATCATCTCCGTTCTTCATCTTTCGTATTGTATTCATTAGGAATAACCGGCATCTGCCATCAATGGGTTTTCCAGGATGCATGCTTGTTGTGGTTGCCAGCTTGACTTACAGGTGTCAAGGCCCTCTGTTTCTTCACACAAATGCATTCACAAGGAAGATCAACCGCACTGATTGTCTCTTCGACGAAATTCTAGTTGCTTGAAGTCCAAATTTATACTGTGGAGTTTGCGTCCCGTCTTTCTTGATGCCAGCCCCGAATCACGACGCGCTGCAACTAGTTACCTTGCCAGAAGGTGGCTATGGCCACAGCGAGAAAACTGCAGGATGCGGAGAAGTCATTTCGCATGCATGATGATTTCATCTGATAAAAGCTGGTTCCATGGTTGGAGTATATAAGACTTACCTGAGAAAGGTGTGATCCAGCAACCGCAATGAGCCACGCCAGAGACGGACTCAATGAAATGGAATTGAGTGATTCACTACCTGGCATAAACTTTTCGAGACAATGATCATACGGGCCGGGCCAGTTGCTTAATCAATTGGAATAACTATCCGTTGTCTCTGGCGTCCACAACGTATTATCACGTCTGCGCTATCATATTCGCTTCTCAAAGAACACGCAGCAGCCTAGTCAGCCACCTCAGTGGACAATGGAACGCTAGTATCCCCAACAATCGAGGAGCCAAAGTTAGATGCATTCCCGTGAAGCAATATCGCTAAGTGAGCGAAGGTGCCATTTGTCTTATCCTCAGCGGGGATTATCGAAAGAGACGTTGTTGTTTTATAGTTGCAAAGACACAGTTGTGGAATGGAACTAGGCCGCGTGCGGAAGGATAACCGCAAACGGAAATACAGCCACTGTGGTTTGAGAACTCTGCGAGGCATGCTTATATTGACTTCAAGGCAACGGTAATGCTGATTGAGTTTACCTAGCATCGGCCAATATATGACTGTGGTACTACATGAGAGCGGGATGAACTGAGCACTGGATGGCTCGCGCAACGCGGAGACCGGCAGCGTGGACATGTGCGACTGTGGATATATCCGGCTTGCTCCAGTAGCACAAGTCCGATAGTTTGTTCAACTGTGCCATCCTTCGCCAAGTTTTCCATGTTCTTTAAAGCTCAGCAGAAGGGTTTCATCTGTGGGCGAGGCTGAGGAATGCCGTCTCGGTACACAGACAACAATGGATGACAACACGGGCAGTCCCGAAGCTCCGATAATTACAAGATCACGTCTAGTTTTTGTCATAATACTAACGATCCTGAATATCACGATCGAATCTGTGTGGCTTTGCAACTGCGGGATGGCTTGAAGTCACCATCTACCCACACCCGTTTCCCAAACCAGATCTCTACATCTCATCTGGCATCACCCAAGACGTCTCTGGCTCAAGCCCAACCACACCCCCTGAACCAAACCAGCCCAGCCCAGACCGCCTCTTGGTTCTCATCCACGGACTCGTCGGACATTTTCCTACGAGGAGCTTTGATCAAGGCAGCCCACAAGGCAGAGAACACCCCATAAAAGCAAACCAATATCTCTGCCGATCACTCTCTGCTTCCTATGAGTTGTAACATTCCCTCAACCTCGTTTACAAATATCAAAAGGTCCCACCCGCAGAAAACATCCAAACTTCATTGGCAAATGTCACATATTACACGAAAGGAGAGGAGGTCAAAGAGTTTCCGCGGGATCGACAGAAGCCTTCCAGAAACATACAGCCCGGACACGACGCCAGAAACTCCACTGCGATACCGCGTTCCTACCTTAGCCCACTGTAAACTGGATGGGGGAGAGGTACCCATCCCCCCATCTCAGCACGTTGCAGCGTAGTGTACCTCGGGAGATGGCATGTCTGTGTGCGCGCAGCCGCCCTTGTTCAATATCGGAAAGTGAACGGGACGGCGGTCAAGAGAGGGACAGAACCACAGAACCACAGAACCACAGACCGCAGGCGCGGCCGACCATCGCGCTCATCGATCTCACAAAAAGAAACCAAACCCCAGCGACGATCGCAAAAGGTAGGGCGCGCACGCGCTGACGATGGCAAAGCGACGTTGACATTGCATTGCCGATGGAGACGGTAGACCGCAGAAACGCACGTAAGGCTTCCTCTGTCGCTTCCCTTCCCGAGTCCGAGCTCCTTCAGCTTTCTTTCCAGCTTCTGGGAGCTCATGTGGCGATCGGGGGTTGTCGAGATGGGCAATTTCTTTTTTTTTTCCGTCCTTTCTTCTTCTCTCCCATATCCATAATCCATCACCCCCCTTGCCGCTAGGCTTATGTTTGTCTTATCAGCCGCGCACACGCACAGGTCACCCACTCACCCGCAGTTGTCAAAAGAAGGATCGAAGGTCACTTTACAAAAAGAAAAAGAAATAACCAAGGCCCAGATCCACGGGTCTCAGAATCCAATACATTTCGCACAAACATTTCAGTACGTTTCTCTGGCAAATGCCCCAATCTCATCAATCCAATAGCGGAGCGGGGGCCCGTCCACCCGTCGCACCCAAGATACCTACCTGCCTAGGTATGG